TTACAAGCACAACTGCTCCAACAGATGGAATTACAAAGGAGAAAAAGGGTTGTGATTGGCTGATATACGTTTCACCTTTGCACTACACTGCCTCCTATGGGTTGGGCATATTCTTTACAACGCTCTGTGGTGAACATCACCGGGTTCATGTAGACGATCATTTTCTCTATCCGAACATGTATGTACGGCGATATTTTTTTGCGCAGATATTCGTTTTTTCAAACACCAGGCTACGTGTGTACAGGGCCTCAGGAAGATGTTGAAGACATTTACATATTTGGAATTATGATAGCAGGGGCTCTGCTTTTTGGCATCAGCGGGGCTCTGTTTTATCGACTTTTGGAGAAGACATAGGCAGCAGTTTTGGCCATGGAAAAGCTTTCGAGTCAGTGTGAAGGTTTGGTCCGTGCAGTAGGAACTTTAAATCATCTGGTTTATGAGCTTAACCGTAAGGTGGAGGTGATTTATGAGACTCACAGGCCACCTGCATTAGGCATTTTCTGAACCAGAACGCCCAGATGGACTCAAGGCTGGAAAAAGTAATCTCTGCCTGAAGAAAAACAAGAATCAAGTTTATCTAAATCTGACTCCCGATGGCCTCGGAGACGGGCTGACTATCAAATTTCTCCTGGGACATGGGTAACCAATGACAAAAGCTTCATCTATTCCCCCCCCCCCGCCCCCCCGAGCTTTCTGTGCAAGCTTATCAGAACTGTCTGCTGAAACAACATCTTCAGAAACTGTGGCTGATCTGAAAAAACGCTCATGGACAAATCTCAATACCTTTATGTCAAATGCAAATGTAATCATGTTTTAATTGAGCTGCTGGTAGAGGTTTTTTTGATGTCTCAAATCGTGTCCTGATAGACAAGATGTGAAATATCTTTTTTTGTAATACCACTATCTACCCTCATGTTTCTCCCCCTTTTCTTATCTAAGATTATTATCTGATAAGGATAAGAAGGCCACACTTTCCATAGTTGCAGCTTCGTGCACTCCGCCCATCTTTCGGATGACTGTACGTACATATTCACGTTGTATCTCAGTGCAAGGCCAATAAAGTTTATTCTGATTCTGATTCTGATCACTGGTTGAGGTCAACAGCCCCCCACCTTCACTGAACAAAGTGTTAGTAAAGTGCTGCTTTCCCCTCCTCAGCTGCCTGATGGTTTGCCAGAATCTCCTCAGAGCCGACCGAGAGTGTCTATCCAAGGTTTTACTGAACTCCTCCCACATCTGAGCTTTTGCCTCAGCAACAGCCACGACTGTGGACCGCTTGGCCCTCCAGTACTCCTCAGCTGCCTCTGGAGTCCCACTGGCCAACACGTCCCAGTAGGACTCCTTCTTCAGCTTGACAGCCTCCCTGACCAGGGGTGTCCCAGTTTGTGGATGGCCACCATGAGAAGCACAACAACCTTGTGGCCACAGCACAAGGCAGCTACCTCAAAAAGTGAGATGTGGAACATGGTCCAGTCTGACTCAATGTCCCCCACCTCAGCTGGGATGCGGCTCAAGCTCTCCCAAGGTGTGAGTTGAAGATCTCTTTGACAGGTTCTTCTGCCAGGCATTCCCCGCAAACCCTCACCACACGTTTGGGTCTACCGGGTCTGTCCGGCATCTTCCCCTGCTATCTGATCCATTTCACTATCAGGTGGTGATCAGTTGACAGCTCAGCTCCTCTCTTCACCCGAGTGTCCAAAACAAATGTCTGCAAATCAGATGACACGTCTATGTAGTCAATCATCGATCTACGACTTAGGGCGTCCTGGTGCCGAGTGCACTTATGAACACCCTTATGTTCGAACATGGTGTTCGTGATCGACAAACTATGACTAGCACAGAAGTCCAACAACACAACACCGCTCGGGTTCAGATCAGAAAGGCCATTCCTCCCAATCATGCCCCTCCAGGTCACATTGTCATTACCCACGTGGGCATTGAAGTCCACCAGCAGAATAAAGGACTCCCCAGCTGGCGCACCTTCAAGCACCCCTGCCAAAGACTCCAAGAAGGCTGCATACTCTGAACTGCCGTTTGGCACATAGGCACAAACAATACTCAGAGCCCGTCCTCCCACATGAAGGCAAAGGGAAGCCACCCTCTCATCTACTGAGGAAAACTCGAACATACAGGCACCAAGTCGGGGGGCTATAAGTAGACCCACACTAGCTCATTGCCTTTCACCATGGGTAACTCTAGAGCGGAATAAGGTCCAGCCCCTCTCAAGATTGGTTCCAGAGCCCATGCTGTTCATCGAGGTGAGCCCAACTATATCTAGCCGGTACCTCTCAACCTCGTGCTGGGATGATGTTGACAGTCTTCAGGCAGGTGGGAACTGTTGACAGGATAAGTGAAGAGTTAAAAATGTCAGCCAGCACATCGCAGAGCTGGTCAGCACAGTCTTTCAGCTCCTTCCCAGGGATGTTGTTTGGGCTGGTTGCTTTGTGAGGGTTAATCCTGTTCACTTTGGCGATGTCACGCTAAGAAGCTCTTTGTCCAGTGGTGAGGTGAGTCTGGTGCTGGGTGGTCTGTTCGGGTCTTCAAAGCATGCGTAGAACCTATTGGGGGTATCAGGCAGTGTTGGGTTTCTTGGGCATTGTTCACTTCTGCCTTTATAATCTATTATGCACTATTATGCCGTGGGTCTTGTGAGGTGAACTGACCCTGGATCCTCTGTGCATATGTGGCCTTGGCCCTCTTAATACTAGTAACCAGCTAGTTCCTTGTCCTTCTCAGCTACTGTGAGTTTCCAGACCTGGAGGCAGTGTTCCTGGCTTCCAGCAGGGTGCAAACATCTGCATTCAGCCAAGGCTTCCTGTTCAGGTAGCTCTTAAAGGAAAAATATGTTGATTCAAAATTTCAGTGTCAACAAATCCCAAAAAAGTTGTGACAAGTAGCAATAAGTGGCTGGAAAAAGGAAATTGAGCATATAACGAACAGCTGGAAGACCAATTAACACTAAATAGGTCAACTGACAACATGATTCGGTATAAAAAATCACAAGTGTCCCAACTTTTTTGGAATCCG